TCACATGATTTCCAAGAAAAGAAAAAAAATATTTTACCAACTCTTCATTTCATCATACATTCACTCTCAATCGAACCCAAAAAGAAATAAAAACCACAAAAATTTGAGAAATAAAGACCAGCATATTTTGGGTGATGAGCTATGACTATGATATGCCACCAAATCAAAATATCTTTTAGTGGAGTTGTATTAGAGGGAGGTAAGAAAGACAAAGCAACAAAAGAAAACAAAAAATGGAAAAATAATTATCAGGTAGTGATTGTATTAAGCCGGATGAACCATCCAGCCAGCTATTCTCAGCCATTATGGAGACGTTTGGTTCTTGGATTAGAATCATGATTCGAATCAGGGTACGAATCCCCTTACCAAACACACCATTAGATTCTATCCGAAGGTTATGATTCACCCAAGGGCTTGCTTTTTCTACAAGTCGCGTTTTACAACCCATCTCCGGTTAACATCCCACTTAATGATGGGAAAAAGACGACAAGTCGGTCCAAGATGAACTATTTCTCTCTTAAGTAGAGCAAAGTAAATGTCTGTTTGAGATAGTTTGTGTTTTTAAGTAGTAAAAAAAATATAAGTTAGAGCTTTTTAATTAGTATTTAGATAGTGTCTGAAAAAATATGTTTATATTTAAGAAGAGTTTTTAAATTTATTTAGAAAAAAAGTCAAAAATACTTCTTGTTATAAAAAGTAATGTAATAAAAGGATATGAATTAAATATTTAATTTGTTGTTCACAAATAAAAGATTAAAAATGTAAATAAAAAAACTTTTTCATAAGCACTTTTTTTATAAGCAATAAGGAGATAGCGTGTTCTAAAAGTACTTAAAAAAAATCAAAAACACTTTAAGATTGATTATCTAAACAGATTCAAAAGTGACTTTTAAATTAAATAAATTAAAAGTAATTTTTTTTAAGCCAATCCAAACGGGCCTTTAAACTTTATGGGGAATTGGTAGAAATTAGACGTCTTCTACCAACAATAAGTCTCTATGTTACCCTATATTATTCTTATTTTAAGCATTATAAATTATAAGTTATAAATAGATAGCACATAGTTTTTATTTAACAGAAAATCCTATTTATTCTAAATCTGATCTTATTTTATATATGTAAATAGGTAAATTTAGGTCAAAAATTTTTCGTTTGACTCTCTGTATTAGGCTCCATTTTCTAAGAGTTAATTACAAAATATCCCTCCGAACAATAACCGGTGTAACACTTTACCCTCTCAGTTTGAAACATAACATTCATTCCTTTAAAAAAAACGAGAAACATAACATCTATGTTCCCTCTAAAAAAAGAAATTTAACAAAAATAATCCTTTCATTAAAATTGTAACAAAAAATTGGTACCTAATACATACAATGCGAAGGTATTTTATATAGTCACCCTTTTAAAATGTAATATGAGTTTAAAATTTAATTTTATTAGAACATATTTAATATTTTGAACAATTAAAAATACGAAAGTTATAAGACAAAGATACAGATAGTGTAAGGGTTATAGGCACGTAACAAGCAAACATGTCTTAAAAAAACCTAGAAGGGTAAGAGTGTTGGTATTGCATCAATCCCGATAATTTAAGGCCATGTTCATTTCACCGATTCGAGTTTAGAATTCGAATTTTATTACAGTAAAAAGTTCTCAGAAGTAGTCACATCTAACTTTTTTACTACAGTAAAAAACTCTCACATAAAATCACATCTCAACTCGAATTAAAAACTCGAATCAGCGAACAAAACAGGATTCACAAACCATTCCTCAACAAGCCAGAAAGAAATAACACTGAGAAGTCAATACAAATACAGGAAATATGATGATGAAAAAGTGAACTACCCTGTTATTAACTCGATGGAAAGCAATTGTTGTGAAACATTCTATCAGTATCGATTGGAATCTTGCCCAAACATACCGTTCATCATATTAGTTTCTTGCCTAAATATACCG